TCGAGAAAGGTTTTTCTGTATTGGTTTGGAGGCTGTCCTGTTTTTTTTTTTTAATATTATATTATATATTTGCTTGGCTTAGGCTTCTTACTGGCTAGCTCCCTCTCTCTCTTTGTTTTTTTTTTTTTTTTGGGTTTTTTTTTTTTTTTTTTTTTTTTTGGTTTTTGGAGACAGGGTTTCTCTGTGGCTTTGGAGGCTGTCCTGGAACTAGCTCTTGTAACCAGGCTGGCCTCGAACTCACAGAGATCTGCCTGCCTCTGCCTCCCAAGTGCTGGGATTAAAGGCATGCACCACCAACGCCCGGCTCCCTCTCTCTTTTTTTAATAATTATTTATCATGCATACAGTGTTCTGTCCAGGCCAGAAGAGGGCATCAGGCCTCATTACAGATGGTTGTAAGCCACCATGTGGTTGCTAGGAATTGAACTCAGGACCTCTGGAAGAGCAGACAGTGCTCTTAACCTCTGAGCCTTCTCTCCAGCCCGGCTAGCTCTCTCTTCATTACCAACCCATTACTATTAATATATGTATCACCAAGTGACCTTGGCTTGCCCTGGCCTCTTGACTCCCTGGTGAGCCTCTGCCCTTCATCTTTTCCCTGCCTCTTTTCTCTGAATTCCTGCCTTGCTGAATTCTGCCCATTCATTGGCCAAAATAGCTATATTCATTAACCAATTAGAGAAACACATAGTAACAGCACACAGAGGACATTCCCCATCATCTCTCTCTTCTGTCTAAATAAAAAGGAAGGTTTTAACTTTAACTTATATACAACAAAATAGTTATCAAGCAAGAATTATAGTTACAATATTTAGTCCATTTACATTTGGCAAAATTTAAAGAAAATATCATTTATCCTATCTTTGTGAGTCTAAAGTTTTATATTTAACTTATATTTTATTATAATTCAGGAAAACTATAATTATATGTCATTAACTCCAACAAAGACTCCAGAAGGATATAATATAAACTCCAGAATTAACAGAGACATCTGGCTGCCTGGACAGTCACCAACATTTCTCTGTAATATTGGGGCATCTATCTTTAGCCTATAGGCCCAGAGTGTCTAGCAGACTTTTTAATGAAGCAGGAAAATTGAAGATCTGTTTTGTCTTATACTGCCAAAATTTGTCAGTTGCTTTCTTTTGTAACCTGTTCATCCAATTTGGACAGCTTGCTGTCAAGCAGTCCAGGCAAGAGCAGTTTCTCATCCAAATGGCTATCCCTGTCATATTGAAGGCAAATTCATAATGATTTTTTTGATATCCATCTTTTTCTCTGATGTGATTGGTACTGCCAGGAGCAGATGTGTCTCATTGTCATGAAAATCCTAAGTTAATAAATCATCTTAAATTCATATTCTGTAGGTATTTGAAAGATTTTGAAGAATACCTATCCATTAGAAATACATCTCTGTATATCTAGAAAATATAACTAACATGACTATAAGTTTTGATTATTTTAGATGACTATTAATCTGTATTTCTAAATTATACATTACATTTTTTTTTTTTTTTTGGTTTTTTCGAGACAGGGTTTCTCTGTATTGTTTCGGAGGCTATCGGTCCAGCCCGGCCTCGAACTCACATATACATTACATTTTTAATGAGATGTATAAACATAATAACTAAACAAGTGTAGAAATATACATATCACAAAATTGACCTGAAATTTGTATCAATGAGCCAAAATCCATACCAATGTGAAGTATTTATTTTTATATCATATTTATGTCTTTTGTTCTTTAGAAAGAGATCGACTGTGATCATCAGCCAATAAGAGAAACACGTAGTCACAACATTTAGAGGCCTTCCCCCCATCAGAAGAGAGGGTAAGCCGGTGAGAGGAGCAGATGAAAAGGGCCAGCGGTTCCAAGTTTTCTGTGAGTTTTAAATTTAGGGGAAGAGTTTGAATGGGGGGCAGGTAAGAGGTATGCAGAATTAAGCTGGGTATTGTAAAGGTTGCCTAGCATTCAGGAGACCGAGGCAGAGGAACACTGAGTTGAAGGCCAGCCTAGGTTTCATAGTGAATGAAACAAACAAACACCCCAGAAACAAAGCAGCCCTGGTTAAGGTGTGATCTGGTTCATCCTTATCTCAGTTTTGATCTCTCAGGGTGGTTAGATAAGAAGGATTTTGTCAGAGCCTGCAGGCTCCAGGGAGTCAGCTGGGTTACCTGAGTAGGGGCCTGAGGATTGAGAAAAGGCAGATGAAGAAACAGAAACAGAAACACAGGATAGATTCAGGAGGACTGCCTGGTCCATGCCTTTCAGCACACTGAACAGCCCCCGAGTTTAATTTAGACCCTGCTTATATACAGACGAGAGGCAAAGCAGAACAAAGAGCAGCACAGTCAGTTAGCCAGCTCCCTGCACTGTCCTTGCATCAAGGAATAGCCAGGCTCACTGTCTGTCATGTGGGTCCTACTAGCTGCAAGCAGCTGCGTTACCTGGCTGTGTGCCTACCCCTGGCATCATAAACTCATTAGAGAGATAATACACTCCATCCCCAGGTCTTAATCAGAACTTTCTCATGGTTCTCAAGGAGACTGGAGTAAGCAAGCTTGAACTCTTAATTCAGAATAGATTCCAGATGGAAACTGAGTCAAGCATGGGCCACCACAGGGTTTAAAGTTGTTCAGTTTGCCAGGTGGTGGTGGCACATGCCTTTAATCCCAGCACTCAGGAGGCAGAGGCAGGCAGATTTCTGTGAGTTCTAGACCAGTCTGGTTTACAAGAGCTAGTTCCAGGACAGACTCCAAACCCACAGAGAAACCCTGTCTTGAAAAAACCAAAAAAAAAAAAAAGTTAAGTTTGTTTTATGTTTGCTTTGTGAGTGATGTGTTCTGGGCCACTAAGGAAAATGGATGAAAAAAAAAAAAACAAAAAAAGAATAAAAGTCCCCAACTAAGTGAGGAGAGTTATGTGAGGTTACGCGATCAGAAGCCCAGACCCACGAGCAGCTGTAACAGCATCTGCAGCTGCTCCCTTAGCCCACAATCGTAGGATGTGCTCTGGCCATGGAATCCCAGAGCACAGATGTGCCAGATGTGCCAAGTAATTCTACCTAACCAAAGGCAGTCATTGTCTTCTCAAGGCCTCGTCTTATAACTTTGTATGAAAAGTTGGTACGCGGTAACTACGTATAGACTTACAGTGCTAAATAATCTCTGTAACTATGGGAATCCTACTGAGACTTGCAGCCTCAGGGCTCCCCCCCCAGGCCTTCTCTGTCTGATAACCTTTGGTATGCTAAGTAATCTCTGTAACCATGGGAACCCTGAGGACTGAGACAAGCAGACTCGGGACTCCCCCGCCTCTTTTTTCCTTAAAAGTGCCTTGCTTTTGCTGCTGACAGAGTTGAGCCTAAGCTCCTTGAAGCCTTGGGGTCCTCTCTGCGTAGGGACACATTTGGTGCATTGGGCTGGGAAGTGCCCAAGGCTCCCAGGACCTCGACTCTCAAGAAGCTTGTGTTCCTGGCCAGATGGTGAGGGTTCTATCTGTTCTGTGTTCGCTGTGTTCTGCTCTATAGAAGGTATCACCTGAACCTGTAGTTCTGGTCGGTGGCAGACATCTGAGACTCTGCCAGAACGGGCAGACCTGGGCAGGGATCTAGACGAGGAGGTCTGGATCAGCCTGCATCTGAGGGTGAAAGCACAGTCGAGGACCGTGCTACCCTCGCATCCGTACTGTGTTTGGCACAGTGGACCCCTCCCCCCGCAGAAACGGGGAGTCAGGACATCCGAATCTGAGGGAACCTAACGCGCGCCAGTCAGCCTTTTGGCCCTCTGTCTGTCTGTTTCGTTTGTCCTCTGTCTGTCTGTTTCGTCGTATACCTCTCTGTTACCCTTCCCCTACAGACGACCCTCCCCCCCGACAAAAACTAATATGGGACAGACACCTTCTTCTCCTTTAGATCTCAGCCTGGCTCACTGGAAGGATGTGAAGGCGAGAGCTCACAACAGCGTTAATGTCCACTAGGGCAAATGGGCCACATTGTGTAAAGCAGAACGGCCTGCTTTCAATGGAGGCTGGCCCCCAGAAGGGACCTTTCGCCTAGATCTCGTTAGTAAGGTGGAAGACATTGTCTTCCAGCCCCGCACGGAGTATCCAAACCAGATACCATACATAGTCACCTGGCGCAGTCTCATAGAGGACCCGCTCCCATGGGGCAAGCCTTTTCTCTCTCACCTTGAACCCGTAACGCCTTCCGCCCCACAGGTTATGGCCGTTAAGCCCACAGCCCGATCCTCTCAGGAACCTGTCACGAAACCACCAATTTTTCAAGGGGATACAACTGAGTTCGATATCTTTCCTCCTCCTCCTCCCCCTTATCCTTATGCCCCACAGAGGCCACCACCACAGGCAGCCGGACACCTGGAGCAGGCTGAACTACCTGCTGGGAATGGGGGAGAGCCGGCTCAAGCCACTGCAGCCTCAGAGCTGCAACCCCACAGAATGGAACTACAGCTCTCCCTCTGCGCCCGGAAGGACCACCTGAGGAAGCAGGAAACCAACCTTTCCACTATTGGCCTTTTACCACACGTGACCTGTACAACTGGAGATCCCAAAACTCCCCTTTCTCAGACAACCCACAAGACTTAATCTTCTACAAACTGTTCTTTTCACTCACCAGCCTACCTGGGATGACTGCCAGCAACTTTTAAGATCCTTTTTATCACAGAGGAGAGAAATAGGATCCTGGAGGCTGCCCGGAAATTGGTTCTGGGACCAACAGGGGACCCCAACGCTGACCCAGCCATCATAGACGCTGGTTTTCCAACCACACGCCCAACCTGGGATTATAACACTGGACAAAGTAAGGAGCGTCTCCTGGTCTACGCCAGACTCTATTGGCAGGTCTCTCTCAAGGCTGCAACCAGAAAGCCAGCCAACACGTCTAAGGTCTATGTCAAGTCAGACAGGGGCTGGAGGAAAGCCCGGCTGCAAATTTATATTTAGAAAGATTACAGGAGGCTTTCCGCAGGCACACCCCCTATGATCCTGAGGCAGGAAAGGAGGAGACAACTGTGATGTTTGCCTTTATCAGTCAAGCAGCACCAGATATTAAGAGAAAATTGCGATCTATAGAAAAGTTAGGAGAAAAGCACCTTAGGGACTTAGTGGCAGTGGCAGAGAAAGTTTACACCAAGAGAGAGAATTCAGAGGACAAGGAGCTTAGAAAGGAAAAGAGACAGGAGGGCAGCCGGACTAAGGTCCTAGACCGGCAGCCGGCCCACCAACGAAAAGAACTGAAAGAAATCCTCCTGGCCACGGGTGCGAGAAAGCCATCTGGAGAGGACACCTTCTCACCCAGGCCCAGACAATGAGGAGGACAAAAGGTAGGCAAAACTCAATGTGTTAAGAGGAAGGACACTGGGTAAGAGACTGCCCCCAAAAGAAAAAGGGACCACATCCGGTGGCTGAAGCCTTCCCAGATGTGCTCTGATAGTGACTAAGGGGTATGGGGCTCAGTGCCCCTCCCTGAGCCCAGGGTAACCCTTGAAGTGGAGACTAAGAGAATTGCCTTTGTGGCGGACACGGGGGCTGAAAATTCAGTCCTAACTGCAAATGGACCCATGACAAATAAGACAACACGGGTGCAGGGCACCACCAGCTCCAGGCCCTACCGATGGTCTACCCGAAGATTGGTGAATTTAGGCATGGGACGGTTAACCCACTCTTTCCTAGTATTACCTGAATGCCCATATCCACTTATGGGGTGAGACCTCTTGTCTAAAATGAGGGCACAGATTATATTTTCAGAACACGGGGCTGAGCTCAGGAATGCAGATAGGACCCCAATACAGGTCCTTCTGACTACTCCCCTGGCAGAAGAATACAGGCTGTTTCAAAACATACAAAAGGGGCCAGACCAAAGGATGTCAGAATGGCTAGCCAAATACCCACAAGCCTGGGCAGAAGTGGGAGGAATGGGAATGGAAAACCCTGGCCACCGATCCTGGTGGAATTAAAAGCGCACACAAAACCTGCAAACACACGCCAGTATCCTATGCCCCTGGAGTCCAGGCAGGGAATCTCTTCCCCCGTCTGCCGCCTCTTGGAACAGGGAATCTTGAGGCCTGTCCAGTCTGCCTGGAACACACCCCTCCTACCAGTCAGAAAGCCTCATACCAACGACTGTCGGCCAGTCCAGGACTTGCAAGAAGTTAACCAGCGAGTAGCCGACATCCACCCCACAGTGCCTAATACACCCTGCTCATCTCTCACCCCGAACAGAACTGGTGCACAGTACTTGACCTAAAGGATGCTTTTTCAGTCTGGCTTTAGCACACAGAGCCAGCCATACTTCGCCTTTGAATGGCGGGGCCCTGAAGCAGGAATTAACTGACTTGGACCAGGCTGCCCCAGGGGTTTCAAAACTCCCCAGCCATCTTCGACAAAGCCTTACACGAAGACCTTCTGGGTAGAGAACCCCAAGATCACGTTATTATAGTACGTGGATGATTTACTGAGAAAGCTACCTCGCTGGAGCTGAGGATTTCCTACACACCATAGGAGAAGTGGGTTATTGAGCCTCAGCCAAGAAGGCCCAGATCTGCCAAAGACAGGTAACCTACTTGGGCTATATTCTGAGGGATGGGAAGTTATGGCTCTCAGATGCCCGAAAGGAAACTGTGCTAAAAATTCCAACACCAGGCTCTCCAAGACAAGTAAGAGAATTCCTGGGGATGGCTGGCTTTTGCTGCCTATGGATTCCTGAGTTTGCAGAACTAACCAAACCCTTGTATGAGGTCACTAAAGAAACCAAGGACTTTCACTGGACTGAAACAGACCAAAAGGCTTTTGAAAACCAAAAAGGATGCTTACTAAAAGCCCCAGCCTTAAGCCTGCCGGATGTGACTAAACCCTTCACTCTGTTCATAGACAAACACAATGCGTGGCAAAAGGGGTCCTGCTCAGAACTTGGGTCCTTGGAAGCGCCCAGTTGCCTACTTGTCAAAAAAACTAGACCCTGTGGCAGCCGCTGGCCACCCTGCTTGCGCATGGTTGCTGCAGCCGCTCTTTTAGTAAAAGATGCAGATAAACTAATGTTGGGCCAGAACCTAACTGTGGTCACACCACATGTGCTGGGGTGCTCAGGCAGCCTCCTGATCGCTGGCTAAGTAACGCCCGCATGGTGCACTACCAGACCCTGCTCTTTTTTTTTTTTAAAGATTTATTTATTTATTACGTATACAGTGTTCTATCTGCATGTCTGCCTGCAGGCCAGAAAAGGGCACCAGATCTCATTATAGATGGTTGTGAGCCACCATGTGGTTGCTGGGAATTGAACTCAGGACCCCAGGAAGAGCAGTCAGTTCTCTTAACCTCTGAGCCATCTCTCCAGCCCCCAGACCTTTTTTTTTTTTTTTTTTTTTTTTTTTTTTTTGGTTTTACAAGACAGGCTTTCTCTGTATTGTTTTGGAGGCTGTCGGTCCAGCCCGGCCTCGAACTCACAGAGATCCGCCTGCTTCTGCCTCCCGAGTGCTAGGATTAAAGGCGTGCACCACCACCACCCGGCTTCCTAGACCCTGCTCTTAAATCCTGCAAGAATCACCTTCCAGGTGCCCGCTGCCCTAAACCCTGACACTACTACTGGACCCAGACCTAGAAGCTTCCATTCACAGACTTCATGGAGATCCTAGCTCGGGTACACAACTTCTGACCCGATCTAAAAGACACTCCACTGCCAGATGCAGAAGAAACCTGGTTCACGGATGGCAGCAGCTTCACGCAAGGACAAAGGTATGCAGGGTCTGCAGTCACAACCACCACTGAGTTGATCTGAGCGGAGTCCGTCCCCTGTGTCCCCGGCCCCACCCCACACCTCAGCCCAGAAAGCAGGACTGATTGCTCTAACCAAGGCATTAGACCTAGGCGCAGGGAAAAGACTTTTTTTTTTTTTTTTTTTTTTTTTGGTTTTTCGAGACAGGGTTTCTCTGCATTGTTTTGGAGGCTGTCCTGGAACTCACTTTGTAGACCAGGCTGGCCTCGAACTCACAGAGATCCGCCTGCCTCTGCCTCCCGAGTGCTGGGATTAAAGGCGTGCGCCACCAACGCCCGGCGCAGGGAAAAGACTTAATGTTTATACAGACAGTAGTTATGCCTTTGCTACAGCCCATATACATGGAGCTATCTATAAAGAAAGAGAGCCGGGCGTTGGTGGCGCACGCCTTTAATCCCAGCACTTGGGAGGCAGAGGCAGGCGGATCACTGTGAGTTCGAGACCAGCCTGGTCTACCGAGCTGTTCCAGGACAGCTTCCAAAGCCACAGGGAAACCCTGTCTCGAAAAACCAAAAAAAAAAAAAAAAAAAAAAAAAAAAGAAAGAGGACTCCTAACTTCAGAAGGAAAAACAGTCAAAAATGGAAATTCTAGAACTCTTGAAGGCTCTTTGGAGACCTTTTAAATTCACTGTCCTGGCCACCAAAAAGGCACAGGGCCAATACAGTCAGGAAATAATCTAGCAGATCAAATAGCCAAACAAGTAGCCTTGACTGCTACAATTTCAGTCACTTTGGTAAATCCAGGGGTCAGACACCCCCAATTATACTCCAGATGATTTGGCCTGGGTACATCGTCTCCCAGGGACCAAAAGATAAAGAACTGGTGGTCACAGCTGATGGCCAAAAAAACTGGGTTATGCCATCCTTAAAAAGATCCACAGGTCCTCACACTTGGGGACCCGGTACATGCAGGACTTACTTCGAGAAACAAAGATCAAGATCCAAAATGGAAATCGAAATATCGAGGAGATAGTAACTACCTGTCATGCCTGTCGCTTGATCAACTCTTGTAGCCACAGGTGTGTTTGCAGCTATGGTGCTTTTCCCGCTTCTTCTCAAGGCCTTCTCTTTCTGATAACCTTTGGTATGCTAAGTAATCTTTGTAACCATGGGAACCCTGAGGACTGGGACATGAAGACTCCGGACTCCCCTCCCCCCCCTTTTCCTTAAAAGTGCCTTGATTTTGCTGCTCAGGCTTCAACTCTTTCGGCAGAGTTGAGCCCTAGCTAGCTGGTTTTCTGGAAATAAATGGACCTTCTTGTGCTTGTATTTGGTGTCATTAAGCTCCTTGAAGCCTTGGGGTCCTCTCTGAGTGGGCACAACAGTGAGCATTTGTGTAAATGCATGTGGACATCTTCATGCTACCCTGAATGTGTGGAGCTCAAAGGACAACTTATGGGTGTTGTGGAGATCCTGTAGATCAAACTCAGGTCATCAGGCTTGGCAACAAGTGTAAGTGCTACATCTCTGAAGGAAAAGGTGTTCTGGCAGCGGGAAGCCAAGGATTGCCTACAGCTCTGTTCCAGTGGGGGATGGTTTTCCCAGCAAAGTGTCTCAGTCCTTGCTCAGGGAAAGGTTTCCCTAATGCAAATGTAACAACTCTGCTCCGGCAGGGGAGGATTTTTCCCAGAGAGGTTGTCACAGATCGGCTCCTCTCTGCTCTGCTCTGTCTGGAGAAATGTTACAGCTCTGCTTAGCTTCCCCAGGAGTGTAACACTTTGTTCTAGCAAGGGAAAGTTCTGGTCAAATTGTTACAGGTCTGTTGTGCTGAGGAAGTTTCCCTGCAGAAATGTAGCAGTTCTGCTCTGCTCTGCTCTGGCAAGAGTTCTGCTGTACTCCAGCAAAAGTGTATACATCTCTGCTCAGGTGAAAGAAAGTTGCTACCACAAACTTCACTCAAGATTTATTGAGAGGGAAGAATCCAGAAGAGAGGCTGCTCTGCCAGGCTAATAAAAGGGCAGTCTCAGACTGAGCTGGTAAAGGGTTTAGATAGGATTTCTTAGGGGCAGAGCTTTCCAAGGTGGAGATTTTCAGGAAGGGGATTGGTAGGATTTCAAAACCTGAGCTTGGGACAAACTCAGAAATTGATTGGATTTCATGTTCAGGGATTTGTTGGTTTCATGCTCTGAGACTGGTTGGTTTTCATGGTCTAGGATTGGTTGGTTTTCAATTCCTGGTTAGGGGCAGGGTATATTTCATTGGCTCTGGTCTCAGGGCCAGGGTTTTCTTTCACTGGCCCTTTTTACCCTACAGCAAGAACCTTAACCAAGTGAGTTAACTTCTTGGCACTGTTGATTTTTGTGTTTGTTTTTTATTTTGTTTTGAGATAGGGTCTGTTTGACCCCCAAAACAGGTAAAAAGTTGAGTATAGTATCACATGCTTATTATAATCCCAGCACTGGGGAGCAGAGACAGGAGGATCCCTGATCTTACTGACTGGCCAACCTCACCTAATGGACAAGTTCCAGGACAATAGAACAAACCCTGCCTTTTCTCTAAAATAAACACATGGATGGCAGTATTGTGGGAAATTGAATCACACTGTGAACCCTGAGTTTGCTTTAATTAAATTAAACCTTGGGTCAAGAGGCAGAGCCAGCAACTCGTTGGCAGGAAGTAGCCATGAAGAGTTGGAGGGAGTCTGGAAAACACAAAGGAAGTACTAGGGAGGGACTTTGAGTTTGGTGGTCCTTTTTGGTTTGGGATGGCATAAGAGACAGTCTCTCTTGCTGGGTCACCAGCTAAGGAAGAAGGTCAGTTGTTTGCTCTCAACCTCTCTCATGAGGCTTTCACCCCGATATCTGACTCCTGATAGAGACTTAGTTAAAAACTGCATTTGGCTGAGGCAGCAGAGGCGGTTCTAGTGGCTCTCAGAAGTGATTTTGGAGCTGTGGACAGTAGCTGAAGAACAGCAGTTTCAGGTGCAGCCACTGTTTGGTAGTAAAGCAACACACCAGTTTCCAGGAGCACACCAGGAGCTGCTCAGTTGTAGAGTGATGTGTGAAATCCTGTGCTCAATACCTAGCATTTTACAAAAGCATCTCTTCTGTCCCCTGAGGGAGCAGTCCATCTGGTTCCCACTGGAAGATCCCAGCTGCTCTAGGGTGTAGCCTTGCCTTGGGGCTGCTCTGTCCTGCAGTTCTGTGTTGTTTCTGGAATCCAGAGTGACTGCAGTTTTAGAACAATGCCTGTCTTTTTTCCTTCTGCCTCGCAGGGCAGTGAGATGGGGCAGGTAGACTGACACCCCTTTCTGCCTATCCTGCCTGTATAGAATTGAGCAAGAGTTGGAATCAAAGTCAACGAGGCAGCCACAAAGTGCAGGCAAATGTGCAGATGGATGGTTTCCTGATCCAACCACCTGGTCCCAAATAACTGGCTCAGAGGTTAAACATGAATTATAAGTGCTCAGCTGATAGCTAATCCTTACATTAAATTAACCCATTTCTGTAGTGAGCTGTTCTTGGTTACGGGGCTACAACACTTCACAATGATCCGAGCAAAGGGCTAAGGATGTAAATGAAGACAAAGACAGCAGCTCATTCTTACAAGGAGAATGGCATTTATTTTAACAAGAGTGGAGCCTCAAGTACTGGTCAGGCACAGTGGAAAGCCACCCAGGGCCCTCCGGCAAAGGATGGGCCAATAATAGGAATTAGCATTTAGACAATAAGGATGGACAGGAAACAGGAACCTGCATGCAGGCCTTCCTGGGAGGAGGGGACAAGAAGTGTTTTGCTAGAAGCTCCTAGTCACAAGCTGGTGGGCAGGCCCCATGGGAGAAGGGTGCAACAAATCCCCCCTTTTTATATAATTAAAAAATAAGCATCTGAGCCGGGCGTTGGTGGCGCACGCCTTTAATCCCAGCACTCGGGAGGCAGAGGCAGGCGGATCTCTGTGAGTTCGAGGCCAGCCTGGTCTACAGAGCGAGTTCCAGGACAGCCTCCAAAGCCACATAGAAACCCTGTCTCGAAAAACCAAAAAAAAAAAAAAAAAAAAAAAAAAAAAGCATCTGGCTTAGGTTGCCTAGGACGTTAACATCTATCTTATCCATCATTGAGAAGCCTGTCCAGGCCTCCCAGAAGGTCGTACCTGTCATTGATTACTCATTTGTCTTGCTGGCTCAACCAGGCCTGCACTGAGGGGTTATCTGCTGCCAAGGAAAGCATGATCTGCTTTATATGAAAATGGCCTTTCCATGTGGCAAAGACAAACTAGGAATAAAGACTGCGTTGCCCAGGGCCATAATCCTGAGGGCTAGCGACCCACTCCATTTCTCAAGTGATAGACTTGTCTGCTGCAGTCCTGTTAAGAGGGGGTCTCCCAAAAGGGGAGGCACCCTGGTCTCAGAAAAGCCAATTAAGTCCATTTGTTAATTAAGATTTAAAGTGCCCAATTGTAACTAATATAAATTACTAGAGGCATCCTCCCCTGGGAGTTTATCCAGCATGCCTGCCATGGCAACTGACTAAGAGATAGGGAAGCCACAAACTGCAGCCACCATGATGTCAAAGTCTCTCCGGTGTCGTATGAGGATGAGTTGGTTCTTTCCTGAGTGTTCCACTGGTATAGGCATGACACCTGGAACACGGACCACCAAGGCTGATATTTCACTATTCCAACAGCTTTTCAAGCAGCATTCCTTGAAATAATTAAGTGTGGGAACAAAAGACCTTGGCAGGAGGCCCACTTCCCCATCAGCCTGGGAGCAGGCAGCTGTAAGACAATGTTTACTAAAAACATGTTTACTGAAAACAATCCGGTGTCCATAAGAAAGGTTTACCGGAGCAATAAGTTCCTGAAAAGGGCTCGCCCATGGGAACATCCTGACCTCTACCTTTTCCAAAGACTAACCGTCTCTTCCTGACTCACCCACTACCGCCTCTGCTGTCAGGGCATGGAACCAGCCAGGGGTAAGGAAGGGAACGGAAGCTTTTCTTGATGGAAGCCTTTCTTGGGAAGTTTTCTTGAGGAACCTTTTTGGGGCCTGCTTAAAGTTTTCTTTGCACCGCCGACTGGTCTCTGTGTCATCAATCCCGACACCCTCTGCACATTCTCGGATACAGGCTGTCCAGTGGGCGCGGCAATTGGAGGTCCCACCGAGATCGTGAAAGCAAGTTAAGTGGATGGGGTTGTCCCTTTTGCTGGCCAGGGACAGATTGAGGAGAATAAGAAAAGAAACGATGGGGAATAGTTCTGGGAAGCTTGAACTACAGTATCAAGTAAAAAAGTTACTTGAAGGACAGGGGACTACAGTCAAGGCTATAACCCTAGAAGGCTTTCTAAAATTGATCGAATGAGCCAGTCCATGGTTCATTGCTGGGGGAAGCTTAAATATCCCAGATTGGGAGGAGGTTCGCCACAATCTTCATCGACTTTTACGAAAAGAGGGATCTGAGTCCTTGCCCCATCCACATTCTCCTTATGGAGATTAGTGAGGGGTACACTTTTGACAGATAAGGTTCACCACCGCCAGGTAGTTCAGGCCACAAAAGAGGCTTTTTCAGAGTTACAAGAGACTGAGACTCAAGCCTCCCTGAGTCCAGGGGCAGAGAGTGAGGATGAATCATCTGAAGAGACCCTGCCTGAAACTAGAGACTCCATTGTTAGTGAGGATGAGGAGGAGTCTCTTAGCAACAACAAAAAAACGGGTAGAGATCTTGGGGCGCGACCCAAAAAGAAGGACTCCAGTCAGAATCGGTTATATCCTTCTCTGTCAGACCTAGAGAATGAAAGTAGCTCAGACTGACTTGTCAGAGTCTGAGAAGGAACGGTTACTTGCTGAGATTGCAGCCCTTAAAAAAGCACTAAAAAAGACTCGAATTAAGACAAGACAGGACAGGGAGAGAAACACTCCTCCATACTCTGAAAAAAGGGACTCCTCCTATGAGATGACCCAATCCTTCTTGGATCTTGAGGGAAGACCCAAAGGAGGGGTCCAATACTGCCTGGTGGTGGCCCCAGTAATGGAAGCTCCAGACCCGAACAATTCCGGGCAGGTCATTCGGCGTCATGACCCTTTAAGTTTTAAAGACATAAAACAACTTAAAGAGGCAACTCTAAATTATGGAGCGCAAGCTCCCTTTATGCTTTCCTTAATGGAATCTTTTGGTCTCTTAACTTGACACCTAGTGATTGGCAGCAGCTTTGCCGAGCACCTCTCTCTAGGGGAGATTATTTGATTTGGAGAGGTGAGTTTCAAGAAAATGCAGCCAGACAGCCCAAAAAAATGCACAGGCCGGACAGCCCCAGAGAAATGTGCAGATGCTTACTGGGAGTGGTCAATAAGCCACCATGACCCTGGGATTAAGAGCCCCATGCTCTACCCATTTAGACACATTTTCAGGATTTCAATGGGTAACTAACTGCTCTGATCTCTGAAAGGGATGATTCTGTTATTACACACCTAGTAGAAGTAATGGCTATTATGGATATACCTGCACAAACAAAAATTGACAATGCTCCATCATATGTCTCCAGTAAATTGAAACAGTTTTTTAAAATATTATAACATAAAGCATATTACAGGCATACCACACAATCCTACAGGATAAGCAGTTGTTTTTTTTTTTTTTTTTTATGAGACAGGATTTCTCTGTATTGTTTTGGAGGCTGTCGGACCAGCCTGGCCTCGAACTCACAGAGATCCGCCTGCCTCTGCCTCCCGAGTGCTGGGATTAAAGGCGTGTGCCACCAACGCCTGGCAGGAGAAGTAATTGTTGAGAGATCTAATCACACTTTAAAGGAAATGCTCTATAAACAGGCAGGGGGAGCCAAGACTCCCCAAAATAGATTGCATAATGCTTGGCTAACTTTGAACTTTCTTAATGCTAATGAGAAAGGAAAAAAATAAAACAGCTGCAGAAAGACTTTGGACAATAGAAAAAACTTCTGAGCTAAATCAGCATGTGTACTTCAAGGATGTGTTGACCTCAGAGAAGGGGTTTCACCTTTGTTTCTACAGGAGAGGAAAAGCTATGGATGCCATCAAAGTTGATCAAGGTCTGATTTGAGCAGGAGAAACCTCTTGATGAGGAGAAATGATATATCATCCACCAAGGTGAATCCCACAAGTTGCAAGGAGATCTCACAAAGGTCGGGGAAGTGTTTTGTTCTTGTCTTTACAGAAAAACAGAAAATACCCATCTTCAAGAAGCCAAAAGACATGCCTTTAATCCCAGCCTGGTCTACAGAGCAAGTTCCAGGACAACCTCCAAAACAATACAGAGAAACCCTGTCTTGAAAAACCAAAAATCCAAAAGACATCGGATGTATAGATGCCTAAAGAAGAAGGGAGATAGCTATCCGGAAGTAACCATATGGCACTATGGAGAAGATGTACAACTAAGGTTTCTCTACAATTTAACATCATTGGTACAGACAGGTATGTTTTTGACTGGTCTGGAAATCAGATAGGAGGACCTGAGGAGAGCCCTCAAAGCGATGAAGATGATTGGACTAAAGGTTTTGTAGCTGGTATCTGGTGTTCTGGAACTGGAACAGCTCAGACATACCTATGGAAGTTGGTTACTGCGTTGGATTTTGGGGGAAGGAATGGAAAGGCCTCAGAGTTTTGGAGTTATGTCTACCCTTCCCGTATCTTGATGCCCATTAGATGGATCTGTTTTAGCTTGTGTTAATCTACCATATGCTTTGTCAGTAGGAAATGTAAACATTTCTATGGAGGAATCCCTTTTTAATGTAAGTTGTGAGAAGTGTGATTTGACTAATTGTGTATCCATTGTTACTAATCATACAGGAATTACGGTGTTAAGACAGCTTTTCTTTGTTTATGCTACCTGTGAATGTGAGTGATCCATGGTTTGGTGATAAAGGATTACAAGTGCTTGAAGAATTTAAGAAAGCTCTGAGTAGACCTCAGCATATGGTTGGATTGTTTATAGCAGGAATTACAGCTCTTATTGTTTGGATTGCTATAGCTACTGCTGCTTCAGTAGCCTCGTCTTAATCTATTCAGACCAAAGGGTATGCTAACCAGTTGTCTCAGAATGCCTCTTTAATGTTGGGTGTATGGGAAGATATAAATGTAAAAATGGAGCATAAATTGAATGCTTTCTACAAAGTGATACAATTTTTGGGAGATCGGCTTCCAAAGCCTGAAAATTAGAATGCATTTAAACTGTCATGCAGGCTGGGCGGTGATGGTGCACACCTTTGATCCCAGCATTTGGGAGGCAGAGGCAGACAGATCTCTGTGAGTTCAAGGCTAGCCTACTCTGCAAAGCAAGTTCCAGGACAGGCTCCAAAGATACACAGAGAAACCTTGTCTCGAAAAACAAACAAAAAATTGTCACACTAGTTATGAATGGATTTGTGTTACATCTTCCATATACAATGGAAATGTTATTGGATGGGAAAGAGTTCAAGTGCATCTCAGAGGGATCTGGCATGATGTTAATGTATCCTTAGCTTTGGCTAAGTTACACCAAGAGATTATGGAGATAAAGATGGCTAAATTACATATTTTGGAGCAGTATAATAGGGCATCATTTACTTCACTTTTAAGTACTGTTACAGTTCTTGGAGCTTGTGTTCTATCAGGCATAATCTGACTACTGTCTTCAAGCTGATCATGACCTCCTTATGGAAAGTGGGATCAGAACTTCACGGAGTACAATTCCTCACACTCTCTGAATTTATGATTCTAGAGGTTGGTAGTCAAAGACAGGTAAGTTTTCTTTGCCTCCTCTCAACCTAAGACAGCACATGAATGATGGGATTCATGCTCCTATGATGATTAAGACTGGAGAGCAAAAGGAACAACCTAAAACAGGTTCAGTCATCTAAGAGACTCTTGGGAATCTTAAAAAATAAAAAGGGGGAATTGTGAGAACCCACAGTGATTCCATTCTGAATACAGAGCCCACCTGGACTTAAAGGTCAAGAGAGGTCAAGCTCATTTGCTCTTTAAGTATTGGGAGCCAGGAGAATGTTTTGATAAAGCCTTGGGGGCAAACACAGTTTTCTGCCAAGTGCAGGATTCTAGGCTGCTGATGCCAGCAGGAGGTATGTTGTGAGCAATAATGAGACTGTCTTTTCCCTGACTCAAGGATGGAGCAGGCATTTGGTCTTCGTAAAGAGCATCTACCTATGCTATGTGAGTGTCTGCAAGGCTCTGAGTGCAACTTCTGCATCACTTCCTCTGCCTCAAAGTTGTATATGAGTAGGCTGAGAAATACACTTGGGGCATCAGTATTGACTGACAGGCCTCCCAACTCTGTTCTGTCTCCTTTGTTTTCTTTAATCCTTGTGTCCCTATTTAGGTATCCCAGTTGACTCTTCAGCTGGCTCCAACACAAAACAAAAGAAAAGGGCTGGAGAGATGGCTCAGAGGTTAAGAGCACTGGCTGCTCTTCCAGAGGTCCTGAGTTCAATTCCCAGCAACCACATGGGGCTCACAACCATCTATAATGAGATCTGGTGCCCTCTTCTGGCATGTAGCAGAGCACTGTATATATGATGAATAAGTACATCTAAAAAAATAGTGAACAAAGGGGTTGGAGAGATGGCTCATTGGTTAAGAACTCTGGCTGTTCTTCCAGAGGACCTGGGTTCAATTCCCAGCATCCACATGGCAGGTCACAACTGCCTGTAACTCCAGTTTCAGGGGATCTGACACTCTCACAGTAATGCACATGAAAAATAATAAATTAGGTCTGGTGTTCCCACACAAAACAAAACAAAAGACCCAAAAACCAAACAAAAAGAGCACCAACTCTTCATTTGGTCCTGAAAACTTTCAGTGTGGTAAAATCTTGTATGGGGGCCTCTGCTCTCCATCTGCCTTCTTTGCTCCTCAAGTTACCTCAAGTACACAAACAATAAATTTCTTTCGGTGGCCACAGTTGAATCTACCCCCAGGGAGCGTTGACTTGTTTATCCTGACAAGGCCTCACCTGAAGAATCCTTAATGTTCAACCAGACTTGTTTGCCTAAGACTAATGACTCATACTCCTTGTCTTCTGCTTCTGTCCCTTTGACATGTAACCCAGGGATTGTATCTCACGCCATGTCAGCACCTCCCAAAGACAGGCCTGTTAGAACAGACACTAGTCCTCTGCCTTTCCCATGTGGCCATACAAACTGGGGTAAGATAGTGGGTGAGGGGCTGCTCCCATAGATGAGAAGAGTCAGGACTGGGAAAAGGAAAGAAGGAAGCTGGGTGGTGGTGGCGCATGCCATTAATCCCAACTCTTAGGAGGCAGAGGCAAGCGGGTCTCTGTGAGTTCCAGGCTAGCTTGGTTTACAAGAGCTAGTTCCAGGACGGCCTCCAAAGCCACAGGAAATCCTGTCTCAAAAACAAAAAACAAACAAACAAACAAACAAAAAACTTGGGCCCTAAATCTATACAGAGAAAGGGAACTTCTAATGGTAAAGGAAAATTTAACTCCTTAAATCAGGAGCATGGTGGCTGGTACCTGAGCCCTGCTCTCAGAGAAGGGGAGGTGACCCTCCACCACTTGGGTCAAAATTCCTTTGTCTGCTATTTGCTGGTCATAGGGTTGTAAAGATTCCTTAGCCCAGGGGATTACTGACAGACCCTGTGACCCTGTAACCCTGCAAGCCTGTGCCCTGTCTTATCTTATTCAAACATATCTTGCTTAAAATATATAGTTACTGCTTTACTCTGTACTTTGTCTGACCTTAAGTAACCATGGAAACTGAAATTTGTAGCCTTCAACCTTATGGTCTGCCCCTTTAAAAGTTTCTCTTTTTGGCTGGTTGGCATCTCACCCCCCCCAATATGAAGTGAGATCCAAGCTGGCCCGCTTGAACAATAAAAAGAAATCTTTTACTTTTGCATCGTAGTGTCAACTCCTTGGGCTGGTCTGAGACTCTTCCAACCTGGCACAACAGTTTTAACCTCAGCTTCCCCAGCTGGGATTTTTTTTTAAGGACACTTTTTTTTTTTTAAATATTTCATTTATCTATTGTGTATACAGCCTTCTGCCTACAGGCCAGCAGAGGGTACCAGATCTCATTCAAGGTGGTTGTGAGCCACCATGTGGTTGCCTGGAATTGAACTCAGGACCTCTGTGAAGAACAGTCAGTGCTCTTAACCGCTGAGCCATCTCTCCAGTCCCCCAGCTGTTTTTTTTTTTGTTTGTTTGTTTTTTGTTTTTTGTTTTTTTGAGGCAGGGTGTCTCTAGGATTTTAAGAGTGCTCCAAGAGAGGGTTTCACCTGGGATGGCCTGGAACCCACTGAGTTGCCCAGTCCAGATGAACTTGAACTCACAACCCTCCTGCCTCAGCCTACTAAATGCTGAGATTATAAATGTGCATGGTGGGCTGGAGAGATGGCTCAGAGGTTAAGAGCACTGACTGTTCTTCCAGAGGTCCTGAGTTCAATTCCCAGCAACCACATGGTGGCTCACAGCCATGTATAATGAGATCTGGCGTCCTCTTCTGATATGCAGGCAGAACACTGTATACATAATAAATAAATAAATCTTTAAAAAAAATGTGCATGGTGCAAACCGGGCGTTGGTCGCGCACACCTTTAATCCCAGCACTTGGGAGGCAGAGGCAGGCATATCTCTGTGAGTTCGAGGCCAGCGTGGTCTACAGAGTGAGTTCCAGGAGAGCCTCCAAAACAATACAGAGAAACCCTGTCTCGAAAAACAAAAACAAAAACAAAAACAAAAACAAAAAAAAAGTGCATGATGCAGACTTCCTTTTAGTTTTTTGTTTTGTCTTTGTATCTTGGAACTCAATATGTAGATGAGGCTGTTTTTGAACTCACCAAGATAATCTTGCTTCTGCCTCCCAAGAGCTAGGATTAAAGGCATGTGCCACCACACCTAGCCTCTTTTCTTTTTTTCTTTTTCCTTTTTCTTGAAACAAGGTTTCTCTGTGTAACAGTCCTGGCTATCCTGGAACTCACTCTGTAGACCAGGTTGGTCTCAGAGTCAGAGATCCTCCTGCCTTTGCCTCCTGAGTGCTGGAATTAAAGGCGTGAACCATCACTACCCAGCTCTTTTTGGGTTTGTAATGGAGGCTGTATTTATAGACCCCAAAATAATAGACGGGATGAGAGAACCCACAAAGTGTCCTGATTCTTCTTGTCTTTTCTGTGCAACATTCCTTCTTCCTGGGTCTGAAATAGGACCCCTCTTTGGTGGGGTCTTATAGAGGCAGGATAAAAAGGAACATTAGGACTTGGGACTTGGGCAGGGAAAGAAGTCACTCACCCCAGAGTCTGGTTTGGAAGTCTTGGCTGCTGAGAAGGAAGTACAACAGCAGAATTAACAACAACAACAAAAAAACTTTGCTATGACAGTATTTAAATAAACATGGTATTGCTTTAATAAGCATTTCTTGAATTAAACATATTAGTGATTAACCTGGAGTCACTAGCAATGTATTGTATTGATATCCTGTTAAGGAAAGAAAGAAAAGCACTGCCCCTTGGAGTCATTTAACCAAAAGCCAGCCCAGATTTGACTTTTCTGTTTCATGCTCCTTGTGTCTTCCATCTTCTGTGTGTCCATTGCATGAATGTTAATCTGTGCCTGCCTCTGTGCCCGTGTCTGTCTGTCTGTCCCTAACAGAGGGCTTTACTCTGTCGTTATTGAACAGCACCAATGGGGAAAGAATGAGGGGCACGTTACAGGAATCTTTAACAGAGTTTTATAAGGGATTAAGTCACTGGCACCAGCTGTTCCCAGCTGACACAGACAACAAACAGTACTACAAACATCATCTACCAACCCAAAGCCATATTGCTTCTAACCTCTATATTTGCTTCTTTCAGAAAATGACACACACACAGAATCTGGGTTAGGGGAATAGGCGAGTAATAGAATTTAATTAATGCATAACCTAAGCTATGCATTCATTTAGATTGTAAAATCTGAGAGTGTGATAAACCCAAGGCAAGTAAGATTGACTGACATTGTTCTCTTAAAGGAAGAATAATAATAAAGTCTGAGTACACAATAGGATATCAGTCTTTTTTTTGTTTTTGTTTTTGGTTTTGGTTTTTCGAGACAGGGTTTCTCTGTAGCTTTGGAGGCTGTCCTGGAACTCACTTGGTAGTCCAGGCTGGCCTCGAACTCACAGAGATCCACCTGCCTCTGCCTCCCCAGTGCTGGGATTAAAGGCGTGCGCCACCAACGCCCGGCTTTGTTTTTGTTTTTCGAGACAGGGTTTCTCTGTATTGTTTTGGAGACTGTCCTGGAACTCGCTTTGTAGACCAGGCTGGCCTCGAACTCACAGAGATCTGCCTGCCTCTGCCTCCCGAATGCGGGCATTAAAGGCGTGCGCCATCAACGCCGGGCTAGGATATCAGTCTTAAGTGACATCAAAGTATATTATTAACTTTGGCTGTAAGGTTCAGCAAAATTTCAGTAGCTTTAGAGTACAAGAGATAGTTTCATACTATTACATTACCACAAGTATTTTTTTTTTTGAGACAGGATTTCTCTGTGTAGCTTTGGCTGTCCTGGGATTCATTCTGTAAACCAGGGTGGCCTCAGAAATCAGAAATCTGCCTGCCTCTGCTTCCTAAATGCTGGGACTAAAGGTGTGTGCCACCAGAGCTGATTATTTATTTTCTTACTTTTGTCACAGGGATTTCAAGTAAAAATATGTGTATATGTATGAGTGTGTATATGTGTGTGTACATAGTTCCTCATTGCCACAAATTATGTAGTTGACTTTACCACATTTGGGGAAATTGCAGGAGCTAGCATGTATGGAGTGCAATGGACAATCCTCTGCCTGGAATCTCCCCTGTCAGGTAAGTATTAAAAAAATATTAAAATAGGAGGCAGAGGCAGGTGGACCTCTGTGAGTTCAAGGACAGTCTGGACAAACACAGCTATATAATGAGAACCTGCCCTTTAATCCCAGCACTTGGGAGGCAGAGGCAAGAGGATCTCAGTGATTTTTGGAACCAGCTTGGTCTACATAGCCAAACAGAACTACACAGTGAGATCCTATCTAAAAGGAAGGAAGGGAGGGAGAGGTTAGGAAGGAAGAAGGGAAGGAAGAAAGAAGAGATAACATTACAAATAATTTCCCCTTGAGGCAAGGGAGATGGATAATCCATAAAGCGCTTGCCATCCAGGCATAAGAACCTGAGTCTGAATCCTCAGCACTCAGGCATGGAGGTATGTGTCTGTAGCCCCAATGCTGAAGAGATGGAAACAGGCAGATCCCTGAAGCTCACTAGCTGTCCAGGCAAGACTAACTGATGAACCCCAGATTCAGTGA